GAACTGTCCTTTCCTTTCTGCTTTTCAGAATAATCTCTTCTCACAAGTCTTATGCAAAATTAAGTTTGGCTTTCTCACTTATCTTTGAAGTAACCTTTATCAATTTGCATAACAACATCGTAAGAGATCATTAGATATTCTCATGCTTGAGTAAATGATTCCACTGTCTGATTGGGGTACAGCCTGGGATTTATTGAACTCACTTCTGCCTACTTTGCTTTGGCACACCACCATATAAAACATCTTCAGAACGAACCTAAACCCATGAATCCAGAACTTGAACTGATGGTCCCTTCCAGTGGTCTGTGCACCCAGGTTGTTGAAATCATATGTTACCAGTACATTTCAAGTGGACCCACCCCCCTCTAAACCTGTAGTACTGTACCTGCTCAGCAGTCAACAATAATGTTGGGCCTGTAGGAAGAGGCAGTAAAGAACGTTTCGCGGGATTAGCAGAAGATGGTGATGACTTTGTAGAAGGCCGAGATGAAGTCTGTGGAAAAACAAAAGAGGAGAGCTTGAGTTTAACAAAAGAATTGAAGCAGACATCCAGATGAGAGCTCTACAAAACATCTTTGTCAGACTAAACAACTAAGCATCAGCTTTCTCATAATCAAAGCTCCCAGGGAATTTGTTGAGCAAGGTCTATTTACAAGAATAAATCTAATGGCTATTTTGTAAGGAAATGTGGCTTGGAATTCAGATATCTTTTAAATGGGTTTGGAAGTAAATTCTATCACAGGATATAGTAGGAATGGCTAAGAACAGGCTAGCTCCTTGAGCTCTTAAGCCATCTAACAGTCAAGAGTCCTTCCCAAAGCACCACTGTAATTTTACAATAAAAGATACTTTAGACTGCGATCACATTCTGAAGCAGTGGGGGGGTTAAGTCTGGGTCTCTACAGAAGATGAACTACAAAGGCCTTCTGGATCGAAAAGCTAGAACACTTTGTCTGGAGAAAGCTTCAGTGGCATTGCATTTGAACTGACTGCTATAAAAAAAACAAACGAACATCCAAATCCAACCCAACCTACACAAGACTACACACTTCAAGTCCTCCACTTCCTAGAGACTGAGTTAAAAATTGTGTTCAGGTCTGCTGTTGCTGAGATCAACAGAAGGTCTGCCACTGACTTTAACTGGTAGATACATGTGGTAGACATAATTGTCTCTACTGTACTTGGTCAGAAAAAAAAATAATTGTCTGTTGAGAGCATTCTCCACACAGCTTGTTCAAAAAACACCTTTAAATACATAAGCTTTTGTGCACTCCACTATTCAATCATCGATTCAAACTCAGGATAAATCTGAATCGTTCCTTTCTGCACTGATTATAGACATCTAATTCTGTAATTGCAAGGTTCCACCCAGTGGTGGATGGCTTTCACACTTCCCAAAACTCTTGTGAAAACTCTTGTAATAGGCCAAAAAAAAATAATCTGGAAAGAACGGCCTTAAAACATGTACTGTATTTTCAGCTGATGTCCAATGCTCAAGCTATACTTATACTTAATGTCCTAGATGGTACACAATAATACCTACGACATATGCTTAAATAACATTTATTGTGTACAGGCTGTGCAAACAGCTGGATACACATATAGACAATTACATTTTCTTATAGATTTCTACCTCTCTTAGTTTAAAGACAGCTAATGCTCATAATCTGAACAGTATGTGTTTTCATTAAAATCTTACTCATTTTAGTCGAGGCTTTCAGAAGCTGACAAGCTTGGAGCACTCTGCTGTCATTCATTTTGAGGTAAACAGCATGCCCAAATCCTTTACACACTTTGGAAGTCTCAAGAGAGAGATGCTTTCTTTTTGAGAACATATCCGCTAATTTGTGGTTTGAAATAAACTATTATATAGGCCAGGTTTCTTTGCTGTTATCGTGGCTATTATAATTGAAACCGATTCTTGCTCATGTGCTCCGATACGTTGGTCATATTCTGCCCTGTAGCATTTAAATAACAAAACCCCAAAACAAATGCATCTTCTTTGTCTACAGAGCTCATACAATTAACACATCCCATTTCTGATTTACAATGGCTAATTGTGTATCCCTACCTTAGGTCCCCCTCTGCTGGTGTCAGAAGTTGGAAACTCCACTCCTTTCTTCAGCAATTCCAGATAAACTTCTTTTACTTCACTCACATCCACCATTCCTTGGAAACCTTGGGCCCACGTCTAGTTTTGAAATAAGAGGAACAATAACAGAAATGGACAGTCAGTGGGTCAGACAAGCGCTTCTAAAACATGTGGTCCTAAAGGCAGGTCATTCCCTCCACCCACGCCAGCTAGCTCCATTCAAAGCAGCAGGAACCACAAAAGTTCCAAAGTTACCTCTCATCCTCCTTGCTAAGTGCAACCACAGAGGGAGCACATACACAGACCAGGAGGGGAACATTAAATGGGGAGGCTGACAGTTTTCCAGTTCTCTTCCTTTGTCTTCCAGTCTGTGCTACTCCTGCATGAAGCGGGAGCATCAAGAATAAAGTCTGCTTTAGGAAGAGATTCCCACAAGTATGTTACACTACAGAAATGGGCTCTATCATGAAACGTTTATCATATAGCAGAGACACAAATGCTTACTGTTTGCTCTGGACTTACCATGATAAAGGTCAAGATTTTCTCCTGCATGTCAATTGGCAGATTGTATCTTGGATTCAGTAGTTTCACCAGCTTGTCTTTGCAGAAATCTTTCTTCACAACTAAAGACTGGAATCTTGGGCCACAGTTCTCCATACACATGTCAAGCAGCTGCAAACATAAAAAAAACGCTTCTGTTACACAGATACTAAGAAAAAAAAACACCCACCTTCGCTGCTTTTGTTTCCTTTTGTTTAATTTGTTCCAAGGTGTTACGGGGAAGCGTACAAATGAATAAGAACAGATTATTGCCAGCTATCTCACCAGAATGTCTGATGAGGTTACTACAGGGAAACGGTAGCTCACTGTGTGCACTGTTATACCTACACAATACAAAATGAGATGTGTTAGCCTGTTATACTATTTTTAACAGAGAAGTATGGTCACGCTTGTTTCCATGTCATAGCATTTCCTGAACATACAGTACCTAAACAGCATGAAATCTGTCCATAGCTTAAAAAATGACTCATACAGATTCAGTAATAGAATTAATTCACTGCCTAGCATATAGGTACCCTGGTCTGACAGATTCTAAAGAGCTCTACAATAAAAGAAAATAAGATTAATAAATGCCTCTCTTCTAATCTGCCCTGTAAGGGAGAGACTAATGAAAAAATGGGAAAGAACAAACTTAACAACTCGGAGTACTATTTCTCCAAGTGTTTTAAAGGTCACATTGATTTGACACGAAATAGCTGAATTGGTCCAATTGTCAGATTCATCTTCACCAAAGAAGTCTACTTCCAAAACTCCGCTTGGAATGCTCAGAGTAGGATCCCTGCAAGCAACCTGTCTGCCCTATCAAATATAGCAGTATGTGATAACGATATAATACTTCTCGCTTGTACACCTGGAGGTAACTGATTACAATTCCCATTTTACAGAAGAGGTATCAAAAGCTGTCACTACATCCCAGTCATCTGAAATCAGGCCAATACAAGTCTTGTCAGGAAACTAGGGTCAGTCAGATCAGGTGCAGAATCAGGGAACAGAACTCATCTTGCCTGGCTAAATCAGGAGATTGACCTTGTAGTCCTGTGCTCAATCTCCTGATTTGTTCTAGTCATTTCTAGAGAAAAAATGGTTACTCTTGTGCTTTTTGCTCATCAACCATATCCTTACATTCCCTCCCAATTTCAGAGGGAAAATGGAAAGGTGAAAGCAAAGGGTAGAAATTAACAAAAGTTTGCAAAATTTCAGGGGGTTTGAGACAAAACTTCCCCTGAATCATGCAACAGACAGGATATATTCTCAAAAGCGTCTTAAAGGACGCTATTGTAATCTTGATAAAAGTAGGTTAAATATACTTTCCTATTCAGAGCAGACTATATTTGACTAAGTCAAAATAATTTTAGTAACTCATTTTCTAGCCTCAGGACTTGGGGATTTTTCTCCCAGTGTGATCAGGAACTTATGGGAGAAGAGGTTTAAGACCAGAAGAAAATACATTGCTGAAATGAAAACAGGATAGAACAAAGAGACACTGGCAGACTGCTGTGCAAAAAGACTAACTGAGAGATAATTACAAAAAAATCTTGGCTTGAATCATTATTTTTCATTTGAAAGAGTACATGAAACACATGCTAATGAACCAAATAATTTGCCTGTATAGTACTTCAAAGATGGTCTGTGTTAAACATTTTCAACCCAGTGCATGGGAAATTTGGTATGCTACTCCCTATTATTAATTCTCTACTTAAGGGACCGAGTATTTACCCTCTAAACGAAAGTACTGAACTAATGGGCTAGATCCTCCACTCAATTATGCCAGTACACCCCACACACTTTGAGTGAAACTAAGCTGGTGTAAGAAAAAGACTTTGACACAATTATTTTTAACTGGACCATTCGTGAACAAGCCACATGCTAATAATACCTTTCATTAGAATTTCAATATGGTTATTTATCATTGCAAATAGAACTTCACCTTCCTGAGCAGTTCCACTGGAATGAATAGATCCAAGGCAGCCAAGTCAATCACTGTTCCACATAGCACAACAAAATCTCAATAGGACCTTGTCTTAGTAATGGAGTGGGCAAATTAACTTCAACCAAACCATTAAACATCCTCTAAATGACAGGCAGGACCTGAGAACTGTTGGAATTGACAGAGCTGCTATGTTCCAGGCTAGCTGATCCAGTTGAGAAGTGATCCGCGCTGAACGAAAGGAGGGCAAATTGCACAATCAAAGCCCTCTGGTTCACACGACAGCATCACAAAACTAAAATGATAAAAGGCATCTGAACAGAGATGAAGACAAACTTTAAGGCAGAAACAAAAAGCATAGAAGTTAATGTGGAGGGAGACCTCACTCAGAATACAGTAGGACTATCTGCTCATCTAAACAGCCAGGTATGGTCCATCAAGCTGTAATGAATGGATGTAGTTTGCAATGGATACTTCTCAGACCTAAGGTGAATGCAAGAAAACATAGATGAACAGTTTGCTGCTTTGTCTCTCTGACTCAAAGGGAACAAGTCATTACTCTATCTCTGGGATTACACTCTAGTGAATATACACTGATGTCTACCCAGTAGAGTTTTTGAACTGCAAGACACTATTTGGAAGTGCCAGCATTTAAAAGAAACCTGTATGAGCAGCTTTTTCAGCTGCCATTCATCAATTACAGTGTAGTGGCTATGTAGACTTTATCAAGATTTGCATTTCAAAAATACTACTTTTTCATAAGTCTTGAATTTTTCAAATTATGTATATATAAAATATTGAAATATTAATTTCTTTTGCTCCCACTCAATGCTCCTTTTCTTTTCCTCTTTGCCCATATGTACCATAAAGTAGAATAAAATTGACAGGTACAGAGAGTGACGCATTCAATAAACTATTTCCCCCTGTGCTGTTCACTTCCTAAGACCCCACAGGCACCAGAACTGGGGAACTGCAGTAAGTGCTTTAGAAAACCAAGGGAGATCTTATAGAGACAATGGAACAGGTGTTCGGCATTCACTCCATAAATAGAGTTTAGTATCCAAAGTCTATTAGTAATAAGTCAATTAACACATACACACTTTGCTAGATTCCTGCCTAAAAGTTCTAATCCTCTTCATTCTGCAAAATCACCACCGCCAAGCCTGATCTCTTGGCTTTATCAAAGACTGTGCATGAAGCAACTTCACGGCCTGATATGCATACACCTCAATCCACACAACTTCACAAGCACCAGGTAACGTCGCTAGACCAGAGTACATGAAATCAAGCCATAGCCAACACATTACACAGCTGGCACTCGCCCTTCTTCCTCCAAGTAAACAAATACACATCTATGAGCCAGAAGGAAGACAGTGTTGAGATGTAACATGTCCTGATAACAGAACCAGGGCTAACGCATGCAGTCATTCTACTTCAGATGAAGACTTTGACATATCAATCTGTGTGTATTTTCTGGGAATAAGCTCCTTTAGCAGTTTCATTAGAAAGGTTGAATTCTAGAATTTTAAGGTTGAGTAAATAAAAGTACATTTCAAAAGAAAAGTGATTTGTAGATCTGTTTGCTTCTTAGTAGTTTCTAATGTAAGTAGGAGAGACAATTTGATGTAGAGTCTCAAAAGCTGGAAGACCACAATTACTGTAGGAAACACAGGAAACAACTTACAGTTCATCAAAAAAGAGCCCTTATTTCTGTAGAAATTTTGGGAGAAAAACAATTTTTAAGAGATAAGAGTTGCTTGTGTTTTAGGAATTGAAAACTATTTCTGTTTTTCCAGTTGCAATGATTTGCTGTTCCAATCTAAGCAATTAAAAATGGGAAACAGGAACAACTTCATTAAGGCAATCAAGAACCCAAATCGGAAGATATCGCACATAGACAGACTGATTTGGGAACAAAGGAGTTAAAAGTCATACATGGTCTGCAATGAGATCATCAAAGGAAAGGTTTCACACATGCTAAACTGATGGCAATACTGGCAGAAAATCCAAAAAAACAAAGGAGCCAGGAGCAGAGGGAGAGGCAAGGATGGAAGATTTGACATAAGAACAAAAGCAGGAAGAGTTAGAGGAAAGGCTGGCACTTATTTAAAAAAAAAAAAAAAGGATTAAGGAACTCAGGGAGAAGAAGGAGAAGAAACCTGCAGTCAGAAAACTGAAGCTGGGCCAAAGGATGTGATTTGCCTGGCAGGCACAATTACGTGCATACATGTGAGTGGGTGAGAACAGACATGGAGACCAGGGCCTGAAATGGTAAAGAAACTGTGAGAAAGTGGTGAACTACAAGGACAACTGAAACCTGGTACACACTCCATCTGCGAGCAAATACGGTGAGCTTCCAGGTCAACGTGATAAAGTTCTTCTGCGGACAAACCTGAAACAAGATTTCTCCCACTTTTATGTTCGTAAGAGCTAAGCTATAATGTCACCTTGGGTATATCTGCAGAGCAAATATCCAAAGAAAGGCTCCTAAATCTAAGAACTGGGTTATCGTAACTCCAGTTGACTCTGTCAGATATTCAGAAGAGGACCTAGGTGCACAAAGACTATAGGAGACAGAAAGCAGATCTGATACAGGTATTGCAATTACAGTGGAAACCGAGTGTTTCTGTTATGCAAACACATCGAACACACAAAAAGGTGACTCATGAGACAGTAGAGGAGGAAGCCAGGAAAGAAGTGCAGAAAAGGTATGAGCTGAATGTTTACGTTTAACACATCTATCTGCGTCTTTAACTTGTCAGGAGACACTTGGGCAATTGCTAAGTGACCTACAATTTGACACTATCAATCACCTATCTTCCTTAATCACTTCTCAGCACACACTGATATAGATAATGATTTTGCACAACAAATACCAAACCCATGAGTAGTAGTACTCAGTGTAATGCAGACAGGCCTCTACAACCTCAAAAAAGGAAATAGTGAAGAAAATACTTCTAGACAAATAATGAAAGACACAAATCCCCAACAACTTAAAATACAAATGGTATGATTCTTCTCACAGCTGCACTATTGTTAGTCAAGAGCAATTCAAGTTGGGAACTCTGGACTTACGACAGCGTTAGGAACTTTCTGCTGCTGCCTACGTCACCGATGTAGTGGAAAACAGAGACCTATGTTAACATATTCCAGTAAACCTTAAATTGACTGAAATCACACCACTTAACCAAACTCCAGAATAGTTCAGAAACACTGTCAGATTCTAGAGGCCAGATTATCTCAAACGAGAACATTCCCAGCCACTCCAACCTTTAGTCATAACACCTGAATCTTATGTGGCTTACCCTATGTCTTGCTCCCTTGCTTAACTCACCATTGTTACCCTTTCATTCAAGTTTCTCATTTATACAAGATAACACTTACCATTACAAAACAGGTATCGCACATTCCACCATAACGCATACCATGCTTAGTTTAACTAAGATCAGTACTATAAGGTGAGTAATAGAATGGTCAAATGCAGCTTTTATGTAATATCCCAACCTCTGTATCTTTCACAAACAGGTGCAGCACTCACAGAGGGACAGTCACTGGAGTAAATAAGAAGTATACTACTTTTACGTAGTACAAGTTATAAAAAACCCCACAAAACCGCAACAATAAATTTAAGCATTTGCATTATCCAGGACTCTACAGAATGCCAGTAGACCACCTGATCTGTGGTAGTGCTGTACACACAAACAAAAACAGAAAACATCCCGGAGAGTTGTGTCAGTGATAATTTGCATGCCACCTTATCGTTTAAAATGTTTTCCTTCTTAGTGTCTAATTAATATAAATATAGCTGTACTTACAGACAGGGTAAGCCTGATCTCCTTATGGTTACAGTTTTTTGAAAGCTTTTTCTTTAGAGCTTTAACTGCATCTTTAGGCCTGTGACAAGAAATTAAGTACAAAAAGTTACCAGTGAAGTTAGACTGTTTTTCTAGTTTGTAACTTCATCCAAGAGCCAAAAATACCGGGCTGAGATACAGGGCCATATTCATCCCTGTATTTACACCCACATAAAACTAGAGCAATTGTCCCATTGATTTCAGCAAAACCACTTCAGCATCGAGCTGAGGCGGTGAATCAGGTTTGTTACTACAGACTGTGCATTACCTCCAGAGACTTGTGCAGAGAAATAAAGTTATCCTCCTCTGCAAAGTCTCCTCCAAAATTATATTATTTCACTGTTGCACAATAAATTTACTTATCTGGCTTTTATTGCTATGAAAGGCAATAACAATTACCAGCTGTATCAAGAGTTGACTGGTACCTATTTTTCATGTATGATGCAATTAAAAAATATTCTCCTGGGAGTGCTGTCAGGAGTTGGGGTGTCTTGGCTAACTTCCGATCTTTTAATTGCAGGATGCTTTTAACTCATCTGAATAATTACCACGTACAGATGGACAACCCATTCCACCCCAGAGATAGTGGCATTTCTAGCCCAGTCATTTTGATTTCTATATATACACCCCATATCTCTTAACTATCTATGTAGGAAGGAAAGGGTGGAAGATAGCATCAAGCTTATCACACGTGGAAAACAGTTTTGCCTGATTAATATGGGCTCTCATACCATTACAATTGTATGTTTAAAATTATTAGGGCCAGCTCAATGCTCATGATCAACAAAAACAAGATGTCCTAAAGCCTCTTTAGGATCTCTCTAGAAACTAAGATGGAGCAATAGGCATAAATGCAACGTTTCAATATGAAAAAAAGAAATCTTTGTTGAAAATATTTCAACGCCAATGAAATTAAATGAGTATTTACCATTACTGCATTTTTTTTTTGTTTTGAAATGTTGTCGTACTTCATCAGGAAAAACAAAGAGATTTCTCTATTTTTCTTAATCCTATGTCATACCAGTAAAGCATCAAGTAATGGATGGCAGCACGACAGTGGAGGAAAAAAAAACCAACTTTCCCTTGCAGAAAGCTGTACTACTACTATTCCGCTCCTGCTTCTTGCTTCTCTCACTGAAGCATCTGGAAATGCTCTGGTCAGGAGCTGGATATTGCATTAAAATAACCATTTGCCTAATTAGATACAGCAGTTCTGCTTTCCTAGTATCCTGTTACAGACTGTGACTAGTAGTAGTTGCCTAGGAGGAAGTTATAAGGAGTTCCTCTGTAAGCATAAGCTGTGCACAAGAGGAAATTGTTTATTAAAAAAAGCTCTGTTGTATAGAAGCTCCACATTAACACTGAAGGTCAAAGCATGCTGTTGCTTATGGCAATGACCAGAAGTGATTTATGACTGACCTTCCAAGCTCTAAGACCCACAGCTGAGAGTTTGGGATCAAAAAAAAAAAAAAAAAAGAAAGGAAGGAAAATCTGATATAAAAAAAATTATATATATATACTTGTGCAAAAACTAAGGCATACCTCATTCTCCTGGAGAAAGCTCTCCAGCTGGTGTTAAAATGTGCCACTGCTAGCCACGAGTTCTTGCAATGCAAAGCTGAAACAGCTCTTCTCCCCCTTTTACAGGTGGGAACAAGGAAGCACAAAGCAGCAAGTGGCTGAGCAACCCAGAGTGTGGCCATTCAGTGCGAGAGGCCACCTGTGCCCTGGATACACGCAGCGATACAACAGATCCCACTGACCACAAACCAGCCACCGCTTCGCTCCTGATGTTATGTAGGTTGGCTGAGAAATTGCATAGTAGGGAATTCTGATTAAGTTAAAAGCACAGAGTTGTCAATAGTGTTGTAGGCAACCAAATGCTCAAGGTATTTTTCCAGGCTGGGTTTTGCAAAGCACAGCCTACCCGTTTAGCCTCACGGGCAGTGCAGGTTATACAAAATACACGGGACTCAGGTGGGAAAACTATGCAATCACCTTTCTCTAGCGCTTTCCTACGGGCAAGAGCCTACAAGTCTAATCCCTACAAGTCCTGATGGCTGAACAAGAGGCACTAAGACGGGCAAAACTCTTCCTTAGGAACCAAAGATACCTGCTCATCGCTGCTGTTTCGGTAACTTTACTCACGCGTCGTACGCCGACTGCTCCCTTTTGCCCTGATGCTATCCCTGATGCGAACACCCGGCTGGTCCCATTTCCCACAGGTCACGGCACAGGCGGTCCCCCCGGCCCCCTGCCCCGCTCACCCCTCCTCCGTCGCGTTGATCACGTCGCAGATGTGCATGAACTGTCCCCACTCCTCCGTCTGCAGCGCTCCAAAGGTCGCCCGGTCTGAAAG